AACGCCCCTGTGCTCTCTAATGGGCAAGCCTCTTGCAGCCCCAAACGGTTCCGGCCCCGCGAGCGCCCGCGCGCCCCACGCCCCAGGGACGGCGCAGACTCCTAGCAGAGCTTTTGTGCGGAAGGCCCGGGGCGAGACTCAAATTTCCCGCGCCCGCACGCCGGTGGGGCTAGCAGCGACCAATGGGAAGCGCTGGTGGGTGGACCTAGCGTCGACCACGCCCTCGTGCGCGCGCTGCCCGCGGGCCTTTTAAAGGGTGCCGAGCTGGCAGTCACCGGTGCTCCCGGTTCCAGCTGCTGCGCTTGACCTTCGCCTCGGCCGCTGCTCTCACTCGTCATGTTCTCCGTCCGCGTCCCGCTCGCCACCATCACCGACCAGCAGCAGCTGCAGGTGTCGCCGCTGAAGCGACTCAGCCTGGCTGACAAGGAGAACACGGTGAGCGTGCGGCCCTGGGTTCGGGTTGCTCGGGGGGCGCAGCATCTGGCAAGGTGTGGGTTTCCGGACCCGGGAGGAGGGTGCAGGGCTCCCACCTCCGCTCATGCACGCCTGTGTCCCTGCAGCCCCCGAGCCTCAGCGGGACCCGCGTCCTGGCCAGCAAGGTGGCGAGGAGAATCCTCCAAGACGTCGCCGAACCGGTGAGTGGCCCGTGTGAGGCGGAGGTGGGTGTCTCCGGATCTGCCAACAGAGGGCGCCCGCCGTTGGCGCCAAAGCCGCATTGTCCCAGCTGTCTGCCTCTGTTTCCCGCCAAAGTATCTCCTTAGAATGTCCTCCCTGGGTCGGTCTCCCTGTTAGGAGAGTAACAATAGCACGGGTTGTGACAGCGAAACTGCCAGACATTGAAAAGTACTTGATCTGATGAGAGACACTAGCACGTTCCTGTGGTTCACCTGGCATTTTTGAGAAGGATGGTGGTTTTTTCTCACCCTGCAGGAGAGTAAAGTATCTACTAACCCCAGCGTTGAGGATGAGCCGTTATTGAGAGAAAATCCCCGCCGCTTCGTTGTCTTTCCCATCGAATACCATGACATCTGGAAGATGTACAAAAAAGCTGAGGCCTCCTTCTGGACCGCTGAGGAGGTAATCCTTCATGGACTTGGTGTATCAGAAGGTTCCTGCTTGGCCATCCTAGCTGAGATGCTTGGGAATGGTTGGTTGCTCACAGAGGTGTCGGTCTTTTCATGAGCAGAGGGAATTCTGGATGTGAGGAAAGGTGTAGGGGACTTAAGTTTTAAGAGTTGTGTGCGTGCTTGCGTGCACGTGCCTGTGTGTGTGGATGTGCGCGCGCGCGGGCAGGCGAGCGTGTGGAGAGAGGAACTTCTGCATACCTGGTAAAATTGTAAACTTTTAAACTTCAGGTGGACCTTTCCAAAGATATTCAGCACTGGGAAGCTCTGAAACCTGATGAGAGACATTTTATATCTCATGTTCTGGCTTTCTTTGCGGCCAGTGACGGCATAGTCAATGAAAACTTGGTGAGTTTGTGAGACATACCTGTAATTCACTTAAAGATGAGTGTGTGATTTTTATCTTATGCTGTGAATGGAGGCTGGAGAGGTGGCTCTGCTAAGAGGTTAAACACACTTCCTGCTTGTTACGAGTATCCATATTGGGTGGCTTCACATTTGCTTGGGGCTCCAGCTCCAGGGCATCTGACAACTCCCATTGGCCTTGGGACTTGCCTGTACATGCGCATACCCAAGTAAAGGCAGACACAAATAAAATAATCTTAAAGAACTGTGAATGTGTATGTTAATATTTATCGTAGTTTTTCCTGTTAAGTTGCAGTGGTTTTTTCTTTGTACCTACCACTTATCTTTTTTTGTGACTTTCTATAATAATTGGGTTGCATATTTCTTTATAAGTGGATTAACTAAAAGAGAATGAGCAAATAATAAAATGTTAAGCCCTGCGGAGCCCAGAGGTTAAGAGCACTTTAATTCAATTTTCACTGGATCTGGTGCATGGACATATATGCAAGCAAAACACTGCACATTAAACAGTTTTAGCCTGGGCAGTAGTGGTGCATGCCCAGAGGCAGGCAGATCTCTGAATTCAAGGCCAGTCTGGTCTACAGAATGAGTTCCAGGACAGCCAGGACTATTACACAGAGAAACTCTGTCTCAAAAAACAAAATTAACAGTTTGTTAAAAACCCAGAAAAATAGGAGTTATGTATTTCCTGATGGCAAATTGAATATATGACATAAAAGAATGAACTTTATTGCAGAATCATGAAGAACTGTACTACAATATATAGGAGCAAACCTGTTTTTTGTTTTACTTATATTTTTGAAATAAATTCTCACTAATCCTGGCTGGCCTAGAACTCAGTAAGTAGACTAAAATGGCTTCATATGCAGAGATTTCTGCTTGCTGGTGCCTGAGGGCTGGGATTAATTTTAGCAAGCTCAAAGGGGAAGAATATGATGCAACTAGTAGTATTTCAGGTTTAACTTTGGTTTATTTTATTACCACTAGGTGGAGCGATTTAGCCAAGAAGTTCAAGTTACAGAGGCCCGCTGTTTCTATGGCTTCCAAATTGCCATGGAAAACATACATTCTGAGATGTACAGTCTCCTTATTGACACTTATATTAAAGATTCCAAAGAGAGGTGAGTATCCATGTGGTACGCTTAGATATTTCCAGTGCCCTTAGTCATGATTGCCTAAAGCAAAGGGCACTTTATTAGTTATTCATTGAAATAAGATCCAGTGTGTGGTAACTCATGCCTGTAATCCCAGAGACCAGCCCTAGCATTGCCAAGGGTACAAAAGCTAGCCAGATGAGATACTGCCTCTAAAACCAAACAAACCAGGGCCTGGAGAGATGACTCAATGGTTAAGAACACTAGTGGCTTTCAATCAAATGACCTAGTTTTGGTTCCTAGCCCCCAAGCAGCAGGGTTTGGGGCAGCTCACAACTGTTAACTCCTGTTACAGGGAGATACGATGCCCTCTTCTGGACTCTAGGTACTGCATGCATATGGTTCAAAGGCATATTCAGGTATAACACTCATACATAAAAATAATTTTAAAACATGGCTTCTGGGCTGGAGAGATGGCTCAGAGGTTAAGAGCACTGACTGCTCTTCCAGAGGTCCTGAGTTCAATTCCCAGCAACCACATGGTGGCTCACAACCATTCGTTATGAGATCTGGTGCCTTCTGCTGTGCAGATAATACATGGAAGCAGAATGTTGTATACATAATAAAATCTTTAAAAAAGGAAGAAAAAAAAAAAAGAAGTCCTGAGTTCAATTCCAAGCAACCACATGGTGGCTCACAACCATCTATAGTGGGATCTGAGATGCCCTCTTCTGGCGTGCTGGTGTATATGTATATAGAGCACGATTGTGATGCCAGGGGTCTGTGGCATCATAGTTCATGCTTTACTTCTGCCTGCAGGGAATATCTCTTCAATGCTATTGAAACAATGCCTTGTGTGAAAAAGAAGGCTGACTGGGCCTTGCGTTGGATTGGGGACAAAGAGGCTACATATGGTAAGGACACTTTGTTTTCTCCTAAAGCCCCGGGCTTGATTTTGCTTGTCCAAGTAATGTCACTGGGTTGTTGGCCCACACTAAGAATACCAAGCTCTCACTAGGAACATTTTGGTGTTGCCTCTTGCCCTATAGGAGAGCGCGTTGTGGCCTTTGCTGCCGTGGAGGGGATCTTCTTCTCTGGTTCTTTTGCATCAATATTCTGGCTCAAGAAGCGGGGACTGATGCCCGGCCTCACCTTTTCCAATGAGCTCATTAGCAGAGACGAGGTGAGTCTAAAATAACTGGTCCTCGGCTCCTAGCTATGTGCTCTTGTATCTACTGACAGGGGCTTAAGAAGGCGTAGCCATTTCAAAGGATGCATTCCTTATGTGTGAGTATTTTGCCTGCAGAAGACAAAGGGGGATGTGGGATGCCCAACTGGAGTTACATATGGTTGTGAGCCTCCGTGTAGGTGGTGGGAACTGAGCCAGGCTCCTTTGCAAGAGCAGTAAATGCTCCTCGAGACTGCTGAGCCATGTCAAGCCTTGGAAATCCAACCCAGGGTCTCATGCTTGCTAGGCAATTATTGTGCCACTGAGCCACATTCCCAGCCCCATATCCACCACATTTAATGTGAGCTCAATCATGCCATATACTCAGCAAGGAAGAAAATACCTTAAGTGATGTATTGAAACTACCCATAATTAGTACACATATTCCTATTGTCCTGTAGGCTTGAATGCAAAAGCTGAGATCTCTGAATAGGATTTTTAGGATATCATAAGCAATCCTTTGTATGTCTTTGTACTGCCAAGTTAATTGGTAAGGCCTCTGATGACCTAAGGCTCCTGTAGGTGCTTGAAGTAGATTGAGGAAAGACAGGGGCTGGCACCCCACCACCCCTGGATCCAGTGGGCAAGCAGGCAGGGTAGGTGATTATCTCCCTGTGGAATGAGGAGCCCTGAGACTTACTAGAGAATGGTGTGCTAAGAGTCACAAGTTTACCTCATTGAAACTATCTAATTCCTGAGTATCGAAAAGCTAACTGACCCTCCTTGTTAAGGAGAACTGGAGCTCAAAGCTGTGGAGAAACCTAAGCAAAGATTTGGTTATCAGAGGGTATAGGCCTGTTCCTATGCTATAGTAGGGGGTAGCTTTGAGGGCCTTCATTTGGGATAGCCTACTTGGCTTTCACAATTGGCAGTTTAACACCTTTTTAACTGTTAACAGCCTGTTTCTCCTTTACAGCCCTAACTCTCCTAGAACTCACTCTGTAGGCCATGCTGGTTTGGAACTCACAGAGACTTGACTTTCTCTGTCTTCCCCAAGTGCTAGGATTAAAGGCCTGTGCCACCATGCCCAGGCCACCTGCTTTTCCTCAATTTTGTTGTTTTGTGTTTTGGAGGTCTTGTAGTCTAGCTGGTCTGGAACAATGTAAACTCATGGGGATCGTGCCAGGTGTATGTCACCATACCAGGCTTCCTTTTGACAAGCCAAATACTCTCAGTGTGGCCAGAAAAATTGCATGAGACTACAAAGATATATAAAGCAATTTTCATCCACACATGTGAACAGTAGGAGTCTTCAGCCTCACAGTGATCTTGAACTTTCCCTTCCAGGGTTTACACTGTGACTTTGCCTGCCTGATGTTCAAGCACCTGGTACACAAGCCATCGGAGCAGAGAGTACAAGAAATAATAACCAACGCAGTGAGGATAGAGCAGGTGGGTGATGTGGGTGGGTTGCTCTTGCTGGAAGGGGGTTCCTGGGGCTTCAGGGTGCTCAAGCTTTGCTCGGCCTTTAGGAGTTCCTCACGGAGGCCTTGCCTGTGAAGCTCATCGGGATGAACTGCACTCTGATGAAGCAGTATATCGAATTCGTGGCAGACAGGCTTATGCTAGAGCTGGGGTTCAACAAGGTAAAGTGTCCTCTATGGTCTTCCCTTCCTCGCTTTTGTGTGTGTGTGTGTGTGTGTGTGTGTGTGTGTGTGACTTGTTTTCAGCATTGATGTCTCGATGCTCCTTTTCAGATTTTCAAAGTAGAAAATCCATTTGACTTCATGGAAAACATTTCACTAGAAGGAAAGACAAACTTCTTTGAGAAGCGAGTGGGGGAATATCAGAGGATGGGGGTGATGTCGAATTCAACAGAGAATTCTTTTACCTTGGATGCGGACTTCTAAGTAAGCGGACTGCTCTTTGCTGATTGTTTTTCTCCCCTTGTCAAAACAGCAAAAAACAAATCAACTGGCTACACCATGAATTGTCATTAAATTTGTTAACCAGTCTAAAAACTGTGTAGCTACCTCAGTCGTCGGTGTTTTTTTTTTTTTTTTTTTTTTTTTTTTTTTTTTTTTTTTGCTAGTTGTCTCTTGACGAAGAAAGGATGTTTAAAACAAAAGGTGCTTGGATTTTTAGGGGAGATCCTGGCCTTGGCTTTTTCGAGTAGTGTGGTCACCTTTGGCCTCAAAGCACCAACAAACATCCAAAGATGTCAGCCTCATTCACCACTGCCTGCGGACTCTCCAGCGTTTACTTAAAACAAGTTTGTAAATAAAACTGGCACTTTGTACACAAACATAGTACTGTCGAGGGGAAGAGACCAAACACCGTGTTCTGTTCACCACTGATGGCAGCTAATGAAAATGCAAGTGACTCAGAAGTTAGTGTTAGCATATCATTTCCAAGCTGTGTTCTTCAGTGAATTGAAATGCTTCTTCAGCAGCTTTGAGGTCAGTCCTGTGCAATCTAGGCATTAGCCCGCTGGTTCCTGTCATTCATGTACAAAGTGTGTGTGACCCCATAGATCAGGGTATCTCCTGCTTCATAGAACCTCCGGCTGGAAACAGGTGTGATTTGGGACACTTGCTGGTTGGCCCAGGCCCAGTCTCCCATTTGTCTGAAAAGCAGTATCGTCCCCCCCTCCCCCCAAGTTGTACTTTGCCCCATTTCTAGTTAGTGCAGAGTCTTGAAAGGGCTTTGTTGATAGGGTTTTCAATAGTGGCCCATATACAGTCTTGATTTTTGTCAGTGGTAAAGCCAGGGCTGAAGTCTGCTCCTAAAAGAATCGGGATATTTCTGATTGTGTGAACAGGTACGACTGAAATTTGATCCACTAATTTTACATGCCTTTTATTGGGTTTTACCTGGTTTATTATGTTTTAATTGTTCAGTATTATCTTGAAGTTTGCAAATGTTAAAATAGTACTGTAAATTCTGATATTTGCCTAAATTTTCTATTTTTTTTTTTTTTTTTTAAAGACAGGGTCTTAATTATATAACTGACTAGTCTTAGAACTTGTTGTGTAGACCAGACTCTCAAACTTGCCTGTCTCCCAAATACTGGGATTAAGGTTTGTGCCACCATGCCTGGTTTTACCTGGTGCCTGGTAAATTCCTAAACACCAGAAATCAGTACTGTCTAGTACTGTATGGGCTATTAATGTGTATTCCATTCACATTCTTGTCAGACCAGTAGATACAACTAACAGCTAGAGCAAAATAACTGCTTGTGTATGCATTAATCTGTTTGTGTTTAGGAAACAAAATTCAGAATTCCTCTAAGTTTGAGGCCAGTTGGGGGTACATAATGGAACTGTCTTAAAAACCAATACAAAAGTAAGCATGTCCCATTGGTCTCTAACCTCCTTGTTAACTGATGCTATTGTGTACCAGCTATTTAACCCCTGATTCGTTTTATTGTATACATACCTCTGTAATATGAGACTCTTTGTACCTATTAAATTATTGTTACCTAAAATTAATAAACTCAATTGCATGGCATACAAGTGTTAGATGATTTAACTGAGACTTTTCAATGTCGGTTCTTTGGGTAGAATTTACATTTTGATTTTAGAAAGTTTCTCATTGAAGCTAAGGGGCTTGTTTGCTCTTTGTTAGCTCTGGGGGAGATTATCCTCTTTTCTTACATAGAATGTGTAGGGGATGGATAGACCCTGGGCCTCTATATGGGGTCTGTGGCACCATGTCTATAGCCCAGGCTAGCTTCAGCCTCTTGAATGTTGGGATTGTAGGTATGTGCCACCATGCCTGATTTGGGGGATTGGAGGCATCTCCCATAAGCCAAGATGACCTTGAATTTCTGATTCTGCTTGAGTACGTGTACCAACACCGCACAGCATGATGTTGAGTTTATTATTCTGACAACTATGGCTAGGCCACTTTCTCATCTAAAGCTTCCAGCTACAGGTCTTCCAAGTGGGAGCCTTACACTGCTGTCCCCTCCAACTAGTGTGAATCTGGGTTCAGGCTACTAGTGTCTGTCACAGGTCCTTTCTCATCTTCACATTCATACAGCCTGTGACCTCATACTGTCACACCAGCTATTCCCAAGGGCCATGTCACTGTTGTGTTGTGGGTTTACTTAACAGCTATCTTTTTTCATTGAAGTCCCTCCCTGAGGAAATTGGCTAAGTGAATCTGGTATTTTAAGAAGCCATATTGCAAAGGGATAAAGAAGGGCATATCTGTTTCTCCACACCACATCTGTGGAGGTGGTATGACTCCTGCCCTTGAGTGCTTTCATTCTTGCTTCTATGAGCTCAGCACACCTGTACTGTCTAGCATGAAACCTTCAAGATAAGTGACAGGTGAATGAGAAAAGGTGAGGTCTGTCCAAGAGGATGTCAATTGACTGGGAAACCAGGGTGTGGACAGACCCACTGGGGGATGACAGGCTACTGATTCAAGACCTATTGTCACAGCAGCTTTGCAGTGGACAGACCTGGGTCTTTTTTTTTTTTTTTTTTTTTTATGTATAGTCTGCCAGCATGCCAGCAGAGGGCAACAGATCTCATTCAAGGTGGTTGTGAGCCACCATGTGGTTGCTGGGAATTGAACTCAGGACCTCTGGAAGAGCAGTCAGTGCTCTTAACCGCTGAGCCATCTCTCCAGCCTGAGACCTGGGTCTTATTTCTCCTACTGTCCCACAGTGCCACTGTCCACTGCTGTCATAGAACAAATCTTAGGTCACAGGAGAAGGGCCTCAACTGTACTGACCTTGGGTGCACCTGGGGAGACCATGACGTTAGACAGTTCACCCTGTGAGTTCCTAGGCATCTGGATCTAGAATGGGCTAGCCAGCATAAGGTTCAGAAAAGGAGCAATCTGTGGGGTGTGCATCAATCTTATGCATGTCATGGCTTTGTACAAGCTCCAGGCAAGCTTATGTAAGGCCACATTTCATTGTGTGGGAACAAATGGAGGACTTTCTGGTCTGCTGAGGTGGAGCCTGCCTGCTGAGCAGATCTGTGAAACCTTTCTCCCCTGTCTCCCTGACCAGGCATTGCCATGGCCATTAGGAGTAGTTGCTTTTTGTGAAATGGAAACAAGATTTGCTAATACCATTTGTGTGAGGGGCTCCCTTGCTCTCTCAGTGTTATTGGAGACCAGTGGCTCTACTGACACAGTCTGAAGCTCTTTCTTGATAATGGTTTTGCTTAGCAAGATGTTGCAGGCAGGCCTTGAATGTAAGTGGCAGCAGGGTGTTGTTTGGCCTCTTTAGATGAGGCAGCCTCCAGTATAGATAGATACCATCTTGGCATCTGGGCATCACAGAGAGGATGCAGCTGTGTCTCCCTCCTCCATAGTGATGGGCAGCCCTAGATTTGCTGGCAGATTTCAGACAGAAGTGATGATTGACGAAGATGTTGGATTTTATTTCTACGAGATCATTTAGAATGTGAGAGAGCCTCCCTCAGGTGGCAGGGAGAACATGAGTTCTATGCAATGAAGCTCCCCCCCCCCCTTGACTATTTGACCATTTTGCATTAAAAAAAAAAAACTGGTTTGTACGTGACATAACTTCTGAGGGGATTTCTCACTGGATCTTAAAGCTGGGGGGCCTCCAAAGATTCTAGTTACCCCTTGGTAGGGTAGGGAAAGGGACATTAGAAGAACTAGGGGTCCATACCTTCTGTTTTCCTTGAAGATTGTTCTGACCAGAAAAAGAAGCACAGGATCTTCTCCAAGGAGTTTCTGGGGTGCTGACCCCCTGGGGCCTCTGGGGAGTTAGGAGTCAGAACTCTGAGGAACACATGGGTTGTCTTCCACTGGTCGTCCTCCATTGTACCCTCCCCTCTTTCATTGTGAGACAGGGTCTCTCATTGTGTAGCCCTGGCTGGCCTGGAACTCAAGTAGACCAGGCTGGCCTCAGACCCTGATCCACCTGCCTCTGCTTCCTGAGTGCTGGGGTTAAAGGCATGCGCCAGGACACCCGAGTTAGGGATTTCTCACTTGTCTGCTTTCTGCCCTCAACTCCTCTCTTAGATCTCCATTCTTCCATCCCTGGGTCTTCATCATGCAGCCATTAGATTGCTGGGCCAGGCAATAGGGCTTGAAACCACTTCCTAGACTGTCCCCACCGCTCGTAGGTGACCAATAGGCTGCACCTGGTTCTGGGGTGCTTCTGCCACCTGTCGTCACAGCTGTCACCCCTTTGTTGTCAGTATGTGGTTACAAGGAGTGTTGGGCCTAATGCCCTGCCAGGCCAGAGAGGTGACGCAACCCTGATCATTCCTCAGGTGAGCAGTTTGAGTGGATGTCCCAAAGGGAAGTAGACCAGGCCGGATGACTGTCTCTACAATTTGCTAGAATGGTCCCCATTTTTTCCCCACACTTTCAGAGTAAACTCAACAAGAGATACCCCATTTGGGTGTCCCACAAGCATGACCCAAACTGCATGACCCCAGTTATGCTTATCGTGTTTCTCTCATACCCTGTTTCCCAGTTCAAGGAATGGAGCCCCACCCAGGCTAAGGAGGTCACCCAGGCCTTACTGGCAGCTGCTATTTTACCTGTGGCCAGGAGAGGGAGCTCCTGCCTGCCGACAATCCTCACCAGGCACTAGGCACCAGGCACCAGGCCTCAGCATGGTACCACCACCTCTCACCTGATTGTCCTCACTCATGGTCAAGTCACTATGTTGCATGACACCGCCCTCCATCATGCTGAGTCCAGGGGTTTTACCTACCCAGTCTGGAGTCTCCCAGACCAGAATCGTTTTACTCTACCTTTTCTTATTGTCTCTTAGTCTATCTGGCCCCACATTGATAGTAAGTTCTCAACCCTTCAGGCCCCAATTTAGAGACCCCTGGGACCCTTCCCAGACCTAGGCAGGCCAAGTCAGGATCTCTTTTGTAACCTCTGGGTGTTCAGCGATGTAGATCTGAAATTATCACCCAAAGAAGACTCCCTCTGCATGCTTTTTGAACAGGAAGGGATGACAGGCTGGGAGGGCTGTTGTGTCTGACTCAACATGGGGATCACACCATACGGACCAACTGAAGTTGTGACCACAGGGGCCTTGGCACCAGAGCCGGTGGTAGGTTCTCAGGCTTCCTACTTCCCTGCCCTCCCAACAGCTGTGGGTGTCCACTGCTCACACCAATGTTACCATCTTTCCGTTCACAGGTCTGCTGTGGTAGTCCTTCAACCTGCAGAGTGGCTGGAAGCTGGAGCTTCAGGCCATGGGGCCAGAAAGCCTAAGTGAAGGCTGAGTCCCTTTTAGGACACCATGGCTTTCCCTCCAGCACGTGCCCCACCGTCTTGAGCCAGGCCTGTAACTGTCCTTAGTTGGAGGGATTTCGGTATTCGGCTTCCTCTTCTCTCACTGCAGGCTTTCCCCAGGGCAGAGGTGAGTTCTCAGAACTCTTGCTAATGCAATTTGTTCCATTTGCAGTTTTCTTGGGAACCAGGGCCTGCACAGATGTCCATATGATGTAGCCGGGAAATGGACTTTTTGCAACTGTTGGCAGAGCATCATTTGGCATCCCCATGCCTCTACAGATTCCTGGGACCTTGGGCCACAGCTCCAGCTGCAGACAGCTGCCCACTGTCTCCTAACACTCAGCTTCTGGGCTCCAAACCCACCAGGAACCTTACTATTCTGGCCCTTCAATGATCCCCAACGAATTGTCTGTCACGTAGGTGGCATTGCTATTTTTAGTAGCTAAGTTGTTGAGATGTCGGAAAGTCTCTGCTTCCTTCGGAAAGGAAAGCTTCCGGAAGTATTTCTATCTTTGCTTCTGTGGAATTCAGGAGGTCATCTTTACCTAGGGAGAGTCAGCAAGTGTGTGGGAGGAGAAGGTTGTCTTGTGGAAAACACCAGAATCAATCAGCTATCGTGCTCTGGCAGTAGGCGTCCAGAAGAGGGTAGGAGGGGATTGGGAGGTATGCAAATTCATTGCCCAGTGTGGTGGCACTGGGCAGTGGTGACTTCTTGTTGTTTGAGACAGGATTTCTCTGCATACCCCTGGCTGTCCTGGAACTCGCTATGTAGACCAAGCTGGCCTCGAACTCAAAGATCTGCTTGTCCCTGCCCTCTTGAGTGCTGAGATCAAAGGTGTGCACCAGCACCAATTGACTTGTTGGTTTTGTTTTTTTGAGACAGGGTCTCGTTTAGTCATTAGCTCAGGCTGGTATTGAACTTACTGCGTAACTGGACATGACCTTGTTCTCATGCTTCCACCACAGTAGTGCTGGAACTGCAAGTATGTCTCACCATGCCTGATCAGTGACTGCAAGTATGTCTCACCATGCCTAATCCATGACTGCAAGTATGTCTCCCCATGACTAATCCATGACTGCAAGTATGTCTTTCTATGCCTAGTCCATGATTGCAAGTATGTCTCCCCATGCCTAATCCATGTGGTGCTGGGATTGACCCCAGGGCTTCAAACATGCTAGACAAACACTCTATCAACTCTGCTATATCCCCAGCTCACAAGCTCATTTCTTATGCAGAGACTAGCTGTGTGTCTTGG